AGACTAACATTCACACCAATACCCACACCCGCACCTACACTCACACCCCACACCCACACCCACACCCATCTGTCCATTATCTGATACTATACTTGATCGATTTTATTTTTCAAGTTTACCTTCGATTCATCATAGAATCCAATGGCTCAATGTTGAATCATTATCTATGGAACGTGTTCTTTTTGTGTACAGATTATCCTCATTTATATAAACTTGGTTTATATAATCTTGAATTAGAAAGAGCAAAACATCTGTTTATTAGTAAGATATTTTTATTTTAATTGGCATTGATTTTGAACAAATGAGAAGTATAGATAAATTTCCTACTATTTATTTCATTATAAATGTAATAGAATTGAGTAGATCATCGAATATTCTATTGATAATGAATTAGTTTTATCTCAATATTTATCTTGAAATATAAACTAAAAATTTATATCGAAAATAAGATTTTTTCAAATAATCTATCAAATATAGATGATTAATTTGTTGCTAAAGATTCTTGTATCTATGTTTAGATGGAAATGTTTTAACTGATTTATTTAAAAATCAAATTTTATCACTTATTATCCGTATTTGTAATAATAAAAACCAAACTTCAACAAAAGAAGAGAATACAATTATATTTACAAATATCTTTACTGTGTTTACCAATCTACAGTATTTAAACTTCGATTCATCTTCATTTTATTCTCAATATATATCATTTGATATTTCACCTCCAATTTTTATTTCTTCAACTCTTTTAGAACTACATGTACATGTAGTACATTTCAATGATTGTCTTTATTTACTCGATGGACGTGTTAATTAACTTCGAGTATTTCGTGTTAAAAGCTCTTGGATTCGTCGTTCTTCACGTCTAACAATCAATAATACGGTAGATTATTCTTAATAATATCTAATTTATTCAAGTGAAGTTCTATGTGTTTGTTTTTTTTAGGAAAGTTTACCTAACATGAAATGCTTTTCATTATATTGTGATACAGATACAGTTGTTTATGATGAATTAATTGTTCCACACTTTTATATCGAAAATTAAATTTAGAAAAACTTCATTTACATCTTATTATTTGTTGCAGTAATACATTTATTGATGGCAATTATTTGAAAAGAAATATTATGAATCATATGCGACAATTAAATAAATTTACATTTAACATTTGCCCAACTGTTAGTATTCATAATCAAATTAATTTACTGTCGAATGAAGATATTAAATATACATTCAATGACTTTCAAAAAAATAAACAGATTATTTCTTGTGTTGATAATTTTTCTGAGATTGAACGAGATGAATGTCATATTTATTTTTGTCCATATGAATCGAAAGAGTATCACAAAATAACAAATAATTTTCCAGGTGGAATATTTATACATGTTCATGAAATAGCGTTATTTGATGAACAACCTTTTGAACATAAATCTTTTTTTCAAATCTCTCAATCATTTCGATTTATGAAAAAATTAACTTTAATTAATGATAAACGATCTAGAAAATTACATGATAACAATGAACATTTATCAATCATTAAGTATCCACATCTATCTCAACTTGATCTTAGTGAAGCTCAGGATGACTATATCGAACAATTTCTTGTTGATACGAAAACCTGTTTACCAAATAGTTTCTATCTTTGCTGTCGATTATCAAGTACTGAAAAGAGTGACACAACACTTTGCAAGAAATACAATATGAATAAATTGTTTAAAAGTGCGTTTGTTATGTTTAATTGGTAAACGTCGAATCCCTGAACATATGAAAAATATTATGATTGTGATGAATGTTTGTTTTAATAAAACATGTTTAAGAACAGAAAAGTCGATTGAGCATCGTTGAACAATATATGATGAGGCAAAATAATTTATTTTATGGAATGATAACTATCTGAAAAGAAAACTATCATTTTGGGGTAGGTGTGGGTGTGGATGTGGATGTGGGTGTGGGTGTGGGTGTGGAAGTATGGGTGTTGTTTTACTTTTACTCATACCCGCAGTCACAGCCACACCCACCCTCACACCCACACCCTTATTTATATTTTCCTCGAGATCTACACCAGCACATTCTTTTACTTCAGCTAAGATCTGAAAAAAGAAAGGAAAATTCAATAAATGAATTAAGACAATAGAGGACTTAAAAAGTATCAATGAAATTCGTTAGGAAATACTATTTGATGCCTTATTTAGTAATGCTGTTTCATAAAAATGAATTACTACACCGATGCAAGTAACTGTAATGATAGTATATATTTATTTTCAATGATAGTGGCAATGAACTGAGAAACTNGCGAGACTTTGAAAGATAATAAAATTAATTTTGTTCAGTAAATAATTGAATATTGATGGCCGCCTAAAAAAAGAATGGGATCCACTTTTCATTGGGAATATTTAACGCAAACAAAACTATATTCAAAAAACATAAAAAATTAAGATTTTTCATTTAAAAAACAGTTTCATACAAAAAAAGTAGAAAAAAATGAAAGAAAATTGCTTACTGAGTTGACATTATTTAATAATAAATCAACGATGTGATGTATAAATATTGATAATAAGAGTTTGGAATAGGTATGTAGTTTCTCAATATTAACTGTAGAGAAATGAATGACGATCAAGTGAGATATTTCTTTCGTAAGAAAATGAGTCAATGTGAGTCAATGTTTAGTCAATCATTATGATGACAAATAGAGAGCGCAAGCATACAAGCCATAAAAGTCGAACACAAAATAATGCCGTGGTGTTGTCAAATGAATAGAATTCCAAATTAGAAAAAAAAGGTGCACTGAACTAAAAATTAAAGAGAGAAGATATATCCAACTATTTCATGAACCATATTGTCGTCGGATGAAAACACCGGTGTTCTGAAGCAACCAACGTTGTAAGGGAGAGGGCGGGTGTGGGCGTGAATATCACATGTCATATTAAATGAAGCTCATAATTACTGACAATGAATTCATAGCATAAAGTCCTGATTTTATTGATATTTCACTTTATACTTTTCTGCCATTTTCGTGAATATTTTGAGAGTTAATTCTTGTCTGATTTGCTTAAGTTCAACTTGAAGTTTTCTCGCTAATATTTTTCATCTAACCATTGTTCATTAAGTTGATCCCAACCGTGTTTTGAATTATCTTTCTTTTGACTTAGTATATAAGTATAACTTGACTGAAATCCTTTTTTTCATATTAGTTTTAGATCAATGTACTTGATTTTTCATCTATAACATCTCCAAATTCTATCAGTAAAATCCATAATTGGATTTTGTTTGTTCCATTTAGATTTTACTGAATCATAATACGATGTACTATTTATATGAATCTATTTCATCAATTGATTATTTATGTGATTGAGAAGCAGCAAATGTCTTTGAAGTATTCGTTTTCCGCTTGAGCTTCTATGAATATCAGGTAATTGATCAGTATTAAATTCCTATGGTGATGATAATAGTTAATCTATCTTGTTTTTTTTTACATAAACTAACCTTTTTGGACTGAAAGTAAGATGGATGCTCTATATTTCTGCACTATTACATCGTTCTTCAATTCATATCATAATGGAAAAGTTTCAGTAAGTCCTATTTGGCTATCATATTCGATGGTTACATTAGTTCATATTGGGTGTGGGTGGGTGCGCATGAAGTTTGGGCGTGGATGAACAGAGATCTCACCCACACCCTAAAGACTTTTGTATCTATATTTAGATGGAAATGTTTTAACTGATTTATTTAAAAATCAAATTTTATCGCTTATGATCCATATTTGTAAAAAATAACAACCAAACTTCAACAAAAGATGAGAATGCAATTATATTTACAAATATCTTAACTTTGTTCCTCAATCTACAGTATTTAAACTTCGATTCATCTTCAATTTATTTTCAACACATATTTGATATTTCACCTCCAATTTTTAGTTTTTTCAACTCTCTTAGAACTACATGTCAATGTAGTATATTTCAAGGATTGTCTTTATTTGATAGACGTTTTAATCAACTTCGGGTACTTCATGTTAACAGTTCTTGGATTCGTTATTCTTCACGTCTAACAATCAATAATACGGTAGATTATTTCCAATAATATCTAATTTATTCAAATGAAGTTCTATGTGTTCGTTCTTTTAGGAAAATTTACCTAATTTAAAATGCTTTTCATTATATTGTGATACAGATACAGTTGTTTATGATGAATTAATTGTTCCACTTTTACATCGAATGTTAGATTTAGAAAAACTTCATTTATATCTAATAATTGGTTACAAGAACACATTTATTGATGGCAATAATTTGAAAAGAAATATTATCAATCATATGCCACCATTAAATATATTTACATTTAACATTCGCACAACTGTTCATCTTCATAATCTAAATTAATTTACTGTCGAATGAAGATATTAAATATACATTCAATGACTTACAAAAATAATCAAATTATTTCTGGTGTTGATTATTTTTCCGAGATTGAATGAGGAGAATGCCATAGTTATTCTTATCCATATGAACTTGAAAGAGTATCATAAAATAACAAATAATTTTCCAGGTGGAATATTTAAATATGTTCGTGAAATGCCATTATTTGATGAACGACCTTTTGAACGTGAATTTTTTTTCAAATTTCTCAATTATTTCCATTTATGAAAAGAATAACTTTAATTAATGAAAAATCACAAAGTGGTCAACGATCTAAAAAATTAGAAGATAACAATCAACATTTATCAATCATTGAGTATTCAGATCCTTCTGATGTTAATCTTATAGAGGCTCATGATGATTATATCGAACAATTTCTTGTTGATACGAAGACCTGCTTACCGAATAGTGTTTCTCTTTCTGTCGATTATACAGTACTGAAAAGAGTGACACAATATTTTATAAGAAATACAACACGGATAAATTGTTCAAAACCACGTTCTTTAGGTCTAATGAGTAAATGTCGAATTTCTACATACCCAGGTCGAGCGTTACGACCGTCCTATACAACGTCGTATACGGTCGTATATAGTATAAATTACGACCGTAACCGATCGTATTTCGCCGTATTACTTGTCACCTGAATTACGACCGTAACTCGTCGTGTCGTACACGACGAAATACGACCAACTACGATCGTCGTAAACGACAATTTACGACCGTAAAGGACGCTGTTTCTCTTATTATTTACCGCTCTACGCAATCCTTCGCATGATCAAAACTACTAATTAACCGGATTTTTTCCTTCAACAACTTAATGGTACATGCCAATGAATTTTTAGAAAAAATCTTTTCACATATGTTATTATTGATTGGTTTCATGATATGATTGAATGAATTCGAAGACGAATTTTTTTTGGATGTATTTTTATCGAACGCTTTCACCATACCAGTAAAGCTTTCAAGGAAAATATATCCAAGGTAAAAAAATTTCGTGTTCAAATTCGTTTTCTCATACCACGAAATTAATCAATAACAATATATGTAAAAAGACTTCTTCTAAAATTTCCTTTCAATTTACCATTAATTTTTCCATGGAAATCCTCCTAAACAGAAAAATATAACTCTAAAAATTTATTTCAATTTACCAACATATTGTTTCCTTGGATTACATCTAAACAAAAGAAGATTAATTCTAAAAATTTACTTAAACTTACCTAAGTAGTGTTTCATTGAAAAATATCTAAGCAAAAATGAATCATTTTAAAAAGTTTATTTTGACTTACCAAAATTTTGTTCATTGAAATGTCTAAACAAAAACAATTATTTATACAAAACTTTTCTAATTTGCCAACATATTGTTCCATTGTATTATTTCTAAAGTAAAGAATACTAATTCTGAAAATTTATTTCAACTTGCCTAAATAGTGTTCCATTGAAAAATATCTAAACAAAAAAAAATAATTTTAAAACGTTTATTTTAACTTACTAAAATTTTCTTCATTGATATATATCTAACGTAAGCACAAAATAATGTTTTTTACAAAATTATTTTAATTTACCAAGATATTGTTTTCTTGGATTATATCTAAACAAAAGAAACTTAATTCTAAAAATTTAGTTTAACTTACGAGGGAAAGTCCTCAACTGATCAATCACTTTTGCGTTGAGGCTATGTGCATTATATAGGTACAAAAGAGTTATGAATACCCTGAAAAAAGTTCGGGCTGCTAGCTTATTGCTACGGAGATACTGCACTTTTACGGTATGTTTTTAAATGAAAGCTGTGGTCCCCTCAGGAACACCG